CTAATTTTTAGTAATACAACCTAAAAATCCTGTCAAATGTGGTATTTTTTACATATTATAATTATTTTTGAAAGTTTTTAAAGATTTTTCCTCTTAGTTTTACTTCTTTTAAAGCATTTTATTAATATTTTTTATAATTATTTTTATAAATATTTATTTATTTTCTTAAATTAAATTTTTGTTTCAACATTTTCTTTCTGTGTTCTAGTTTCTGCGTTCTATTTTACTGCACTGCGGACATTTCCATTTTGTTAGCATCTTTCCAGAAGCAAGGCAAATCGAATCAATCATCAAATCGGTGGAGAAAAGGGGCTGTTTTTCCACTCGAGGCCCTGCCCCCACCCCCCACCCCCCACACTCCTCCTCTTCAAGTGCAGAATGTTGCATGCATAAATGAATGACATATATTTCACATCTTCCCCGAAGAAAAGTGTCGAAGGAAAAAAAAAAAAGCTTTTTTGTGCCCCCTTTTGTTGGTCAACGCCAACTGCGGGTGGAAAAGCGTTTGGAAAAGCGGTTGGAGGCCAATCAATATGTTTGCACAAGGGAGCTGGTGAAAAAAAAGAATGATGTGGGGAAAAGTGAGGAAGAAAATCAGAATTGCAACAGTTAAGGGAAATAGTGGCAACAGTAAATGCAATAAATAAATCCAGGAACTTAAAGTATGAAATTAAGTTAATAAATTAAAGAACATTTTGCACTTTAGTTGGTCTTTCGAGCCGGATTTTCATAGTCTGCACCAGAAGCTCCGTATATTTTAGGTAAAATGGTTACTGATGAATTTCGTTGGGTAAATACTGAAACATTTATTTTTAAAATTATTAAAAGAATATGAAATAAATAAATAAAAAAATAGTGAAAGAATATATAAATATAGAATTTGTAGAAATTCACTATAAATATTTGCTGCCTGCCAACAAGCAGTTTAACATATTCGATAACGGGGTTATCAAGCCAACTGAGAATCCTCTTGAAAATTAAGAAGGATTCACATGAACTGGACCCCCCCTCCCCCCCATTCCGTATTGTTAAAGGACTTTGTCTCATATGGTCGTGTAATGTGATTCATAATTTATATAACTTTAATGAACAACATTAATATGCGAATTATGACAAGCCATGGGACACAGCATCCCACGCTTGCTCTGTGTCTTTCTACCACATACATATATATTTTTGTATGCCCGACATCCTGGCAGCCAGAACATGACGCCAGGACCATTGTCCGCCCACATAGTTGGGACAGCTGGTCGAAAACAAAAAAAAAACTTCAAACTGAAAATGAAGAGGGAAAAGGAGCGACTAAAAGAAAACTGAAAATGAAATGAAATGACAAAAACTCGACAACACTTTTGGGATAACATTGTAAATTTTATTATGGCCCACAGAAAGGATTGTCCTGGGAGCACGGATAAAGAGTAGGGTTAGGGCAAGTATCAGAGGGTGGAGCCAAGGGACTACCCCCCCTCTGTCCTCCCCTTGGGGAATTTAGTAACAGAAAAAAAAACTCAACTAATTTGTTGCGGACCAAAATCAAATAAGAGAGTGCTCCGCCACTGTGCTACCGTAGGTCCGGGTGTATATAAAGTATACAAAATAAATTCACTGGATCCTGGAGCTTAGTTGGGGATTACAATAAATTAATGAGAGCAGCAGCAGCAGCAGCAGCGGCAAAAATATGCTTAAAACAGACACCAATTTGGTCAAAAAGTCCAGGTAAAAGCCAGACAAAATAGAAATTTGTAATATTATTTTAATAACAAACGTGAAAGTTTAGTCAATTCCTGTGTTAACCTCTGCCTAATTGAGTCTTTACTACAGTCCGCTGACCACGCAAAATATTTATCGGTCGACATATCAGCTTCCTCCCTGCTGGGTCACAGCTGAATTCAACCAAAGTCGAGCTTTGTTCGCTCTAATAATATCAAAATAGAACCCATTGATAGCTAGTGACCCCGCCGTGAGTCAAAACTGTGGTGGTCGAAATGCAATTGCACAGGAACAAATATATTATATTTTATATATATTTTAGGGCTCCAAATAAATTATTTTAATAAAACAAAATAGTCAACAATACAAAAATATTTAATAAATACATTTAAAATAATATATCAAAAAACGAATAATAAAATAAAATATATATATATATATATATGTATATATACATATCTATAAAATAAAACAAATAAAAAAAAAAAAAAAAAAAAAAAAAAATAAAAAAAAATAAAAAAAAAAAAAAAAAAAAAAAAAAAAAAAAAAAAAAAATAAATAAAAATAAAAAAAATAAAATTAATAATCGAAAATACAATTAAACAATAATTGTTTATATTAATAATAATAATAAATAATTAATTTATTTATGGAATAAATATTTTGTTATTCTGTCCAAGTGCTCATATTATTAAATATATAAATGCCTTAATTTTGTTTTCGATAATTAAATAATTTAAAAATAATCTTAAAAATAATCTAAAAATAGTCAATATATCGATACTATAATGTTGATAATTTATCGATGTTTTTAGTTTTTTTTTGTGGGAAATTTTTAAGTATCAAGACATAGTTTCGATATTTTAGTAGGCAATATATCGATATATTTATTTTGTTAATTTTTGTTGTTATTTTACTATTTATTATCGAAATATCTTTAGAAAACCTTAAAAAATAGAACATTTTTTCTGTACCTTGTTTGTTTTTTTTTTTTTCCTGTGGATTGGTCAATATCTGGCTGTGGCATACACACACGTCTGCATATGTACTCTCTGACAATCAATATATCCGCTGCATGTGCACATCCGTTTGCCAGGCAACAACAGGAACAGGAGAAACAGGAGCAAAAGCAGAACCAGGAGCAGAAACAGGACTAACCTCAACCTGCAGCCAAAGGAAAGGTGTGCTGCTGCTGCTGCTGCCCGGTTGAATTGTTTGTTTGTTTGTATGGCCACGATGTCCTTCCATGGCGTCCTGATGGACAGGCTTTCGCCTCGCTGGGCTGCTCCCTTCGCTCTCTTCTTTGTCACAAACAATGTCCCTGCCGCGTTCTGCGGTTGCGACAGAAAGAATTGGAAAGTAAACAAACAATTTTAGCGCCAGGGGTCAGGGAAAGCTGATCCTAGGGATGGGGCAAAAAAATATCGACTTGTCAATATTAAAATCGATAGAAATATTTTTAATTTTGGGATAGAAAGTGTAATTGTTTTTTTTTCAGATAAATTTAGTGAGGTGAATTCTTAAATAAATACAACTTTATTTTTCAATACCTTTGGGTTGCAAATTTCAAAATATGATTGTTACAAAACATCGATATAATATCGATATATTTAATGTAGTTTCATTACAAATATTGTAAAATTAGAAACTGGAGTTTATTTTAGAAGCTCTTTCCCAAGTCATGTTAATTAATAAACTTTATCCAATAAATAAAGTTAAAGTTTATAAATTAAAATAAGTTTTTCTAACAATCAGGAAGTAAAATTCAGTTGACTAAACTTTGAAAAATGCCAGCTCTTTGCTTTTTGCCTCATAATACTTATATATATAATTTTTGTATGCCATTCCTGATGATGATCTAGGAACAACTCTTGAAATTCTGCCTATTTCCTGCTGCACAGAGATGCGTAATTAATTGCTTAGCTGCATTTTAGCAGCGGCGGCGTTGGTTGCCCTTAGAAGAGGAGTGTCTGTGTGGGTGGGCGGTGGCTTGTTAACCCTTTCTGGCCAACTTATTTACGCCTGGCTCCTTTGTCCAGTATCCTGTTAGTTGCCCCAACGCTTCAACATTGTTGTGGTTTTACCTTCTGTCCTTTTTTGTTTTGTTTGTTTGTTTCAACCTTTTGTTATCTTTTATTTTTTCTATTTTTCGTCCATTTTGTGTGCACTTTTAATGGTTATCCACTACCCTTGTTGCATTTATCTGGTTTTATCGTGTGGAATAGTTGAAGAAGCAGCACAGAACAGCAGCAGTTGCTTTAGCTGAGCGTATTAAAGAGTTATGCATTATGCATTAAATTATAAGTAATTATATTAAATTATTTTCGTTGATTGCCAAAAAGTTGCAACTAAAATAATATTTATTTTACAAAAAAGTTTGTTTCCCTTTACGCTCCCAGCTATGTTAATTACAAACTTTTGAGTTGGACACAGAGCTAAAACAAATTACATGAGGGGAGGGTGGCTAAAAAAGGGTTGTATGGGTGGTACTGACAGTTACAACAGCTACTCGACGACCAAGAGGCATCACATCAGTTTTAACTAATATATAAATTATATATAATTGTATGTCAACTTTCTACTTTATTTATCAATTTATTTCCAAATATAAAACAATTAAAATCAATTTAAAAAACACATATTAATGGCTTTAAAATAAAACTACATGAAGACCCTACAGTTAAAACTGATTTAAAACATTTAAAGTAATAATCTCCTAAGAGCTTTTAACAAAATTCCCTAAAACCTGTCAGACAGGTGAGAAAAGATACCTTATTAAGCTTCAGATTTCATTACTCTTTGTCTGCTAGTTTTCGACAAAGTTTTGGTTGTTTATACCTTTTTTTGGTTTTGCATACTTTGACTCTCTTATTTATATAACAGAGTTCTATTAATTATTAATTGCACGCCAAAAGTCTGTTGAAGATGTCCGCTAACTTGCAAACTTTGTAGCAATTTGTTGCATAGTTTGTGGGGCCTCCACCACCCTCATCGACATAGTTTTGAGTGCTGCAAGTGTTGGGCATTGTTTTGCCTTTGTGTGTGTTGTGTGTGTGTGTGTGTTTAGCTGCTTGAATGTTTGGTTGTTTGGTTGTTTGCCTGTTTGGGTGTTTGCCGGCTCGTTGTTGTCTAGGGTTTGCCAATTATGAGTCCAAGTAGTTGCTTTCATGCTTAAATCTAAACATAGAACAGGGTTTTAATTTTGTAATTAAAAAAAAATATAACTAAAGCTTTTTTCTAGAACTCAGAATTATAAAAAAAAAATGTACAGTGAAACAGTATGGCAGGTCTTTATTTAGACTACACATTTGTACTTTGTTAATTTTTATAACAATAAATTTAGCTCAAAAAGATTCATTTGGAAAAGATTTTTGATTGCCAAAAGAGAAGTTTGAAGAATATGTTCCACGTTTGGCATGAGAATTAACTTGAAACGCAAATAATAATTGTAGAAAAATATCATTTTCATATAAACTCTGATTAGGCTAATCTTGATCTATATCCAAATCCTGATCTATGTCTATATTCATATCGATATCCTCGAAATCATCATTATTTTGGGGCATATAAGTGCGTATATTCTCCTCAGTGTAATCCATGATGCGAAGATTCTTGCGTCTAACATATTGCTTATACCTGAGATATATCTTAAGGATACCCTTGACCGCGATAAAGGTAAATCCACCGAGCAGAGTGCGTAAAAATGTGGTCTCCACCGAGTTGAACAATATTTTTCCCACAGCGCATGAAATGGTTGGCAATAAAATTGCTCCAAAGAAAACACGAGCGGCCGTTGGAGGTTCGGATACTATCGGTACGGTTGGATATCTAAAAATTCCCTGCTGCTCCTCCAGCTCCTGGATTTCGTCCTCCTGATTCAGAGTGATGTAGATAATTCTCACATATCGCATATTTCTTCTCACCACAATTTCGCGGCCCTGTATCACACGTAGCACAGCATCCTGCCAGCAAATCAGGCGACATAGCACCAGGCCAATGGGAATGAAAGGCAATCCAAACACTAGGAATAGGGGATCGCAGGCCTGCATCAAGGGCAAGGCTTGTTCATAGCCCAGAAGTTGTATTAACGTAACCGCACCAAACGATGAGGCTGTCCAATAGACCGCAGAGATAAAGAAGCCAGCCATCAGGTAGGGACATATCCGTGACATAAAAGTCTCCAGTGCTTCCAGGACTAAGCCGACGGTGCCCATTTGCGGAAATTCTAGAATGTATTCTGTCAGGCACTGCGGACAGGACACGGAACGTGCCGGTGGTTCATTATTCTCATTCTCATTGTTCATTTTTTCATCAATCCAGCGATAAAGGCAACTCTGGTGCACCCATTTGGTAGAGCCACGGCACTGGCAAGGCTTCACCCATGCCGCCAGCCGGTTGTCCTCGTCGGTGGCAAAACAGATCCAGCAGCAACGCTCTGGCTCCTCAGGATCCTCTTGTATAATCGGCATCGTGTGATTACTATCTCCGGTGAAGATTTCGCCTGCTCTTCCTGGATTTGTGTTAACTTGGGACACATTGTTGTCAGCCATATCTTGGTTAGAGTCTTTAACTTTTTTAAAAAAAACCTAATACTTCCTAATATCTAATTGTTTACTTCTCTCTATATGTAAGCTTTCTCCTATTGTCTAGCTCCTACATACGGAACTACAAAAGTATAGATGTTGCACACCGATCTGACAGTGCTAAATAAGTCAGAGGTTACTTGGTTTAGGATAATGTAGAATTTTTAACTTTAGTTTTCAGTAAAAAAGAAAAAATAAATAGATAATAAATAGATAAATAAAAATAAATAAATAAATAAAAATAAATAAATAAATAAAAATAAATAAATAAAAATAAATAAATAAAAATAAATAAATAAAAATAAATAAATAAAAATAAATAAATAAAAATAAATAAATAAAAATAAATAAATAAAAATAAATAAATAAATATAATAAATAAATATAATAAATAAATAAATAAATATATTAAATAAATAAATATAATAAATAAATTTAAAATGATAGCAATTTTTTTTAAATAAATAAATAAAAATAAACATAAAAATAAATATATATAAATTAAATAAATGTAAATATATAAAAATTTAATAAAATAAGTCTGGTAGGTTTAATTTTAAGTGAATATAAGTACAGATTTATATATTTATTTTATTAAAATATAAATATTAAAATAGGTTGTAAGCCCTAAAACTATATTTATAAATGTTAATTTCTAGCAAAATGTATGTTTTGTTTTGCCCCTTTTGTTAACATTTCACTGAATTATAAAAAAAAAAATAAATAAATATGAAAGAAGGGCAAGATTTGAGACAGATTTATGTCCATAATAAATGTCAAAATATCTTCTCTCTTTTTTTTTCTTATTGTTGTGCTTAACAAAATAGTCCCGGGAATATATGATTTTTATAGATGGGCTTTTTATACAAATCTCATATTCTTAATGGTGGCGAGGGACGGGGAAAATGACAAATCCGTGACTGAAGTGTAGCGTAACTTTAACCCACATAATAATGGTCTTTCCCGCAAAATGCAACTTTTGTTGAGCCAACTTTGCCCCATCATCTTTCATCTCCATTCTATATCTATATCTATACGTATTTATATATGAAAATATATATATATTTATATGTATGGGTGCGTGTGTATATTATTTTCCTACTCCTTGGACGCCCAACTTTGCTACGCTGTTTATTTGCTCTATATGGTTTGGTCCTTGCAACATCTTCCTGTTGTTGCCTTTTCTGCTTTGGCGCACTTAAAAAGCAATTTACTCTAATTACATTAAGTAGAAACAGCGGCCAACTTGTGCGTGTGTCAATAAACAAACGGTGAAAGTACTCAAATATATATGCATTATATACACTAAGCGAAAATATTACCATTGATATATTTAATCTCAGGAGCTTACGTTTTTTAAACTAAACTTTTTTTGATTTTTTGGTTTTTTATTTATTAATATTAAAATATATATATATATATATTTTTTTTTTTTATATACAATTTTTTTAAAATAATTTTTTGTATTTTTTTGTAGTAATATTTATTATTTTTTAATTTTTAATTAATTATTATATTTTATTTATTGTGTTTTTCATTTATTATTTTATTTATTTATTATTTTATTTATTTATTATTTTATTTATATATTTATTTTATTTATATATTTATTTTATTTATATATTTATTTTTATTTATTATTTTTCTTATTGATTATTTTATTTTTTATTTATTTTTATTTATTTTTTTTTTATTTTTTTTATTTATTTTTTTATTTATTTTTTTATTTATTATTTTTTTTTATAAATTTTTTTTTATTTATTTTTTTTTTTTTTTTTTTTTTTTATTTTTGTCATATCGGTTTTCTTTTCTCTCTGTGTATATTATGTGAGCCTCCAGGAAAAACATCGAAACGGGAGAAAAAAATATTGCGCTTTTAGGCCATAATTACCTGGGAAGTTTCGCGTTCTTCTCCTTCTTCTTTGCCTTCGCCCCGGTCACTTCCGTTTTGCCTTTTGTCCCTGTTGTCGTCCCTCCCGGGAATCTGTGTCTTCCTCTGGCCCCCCTCCCCTCTTCATTATTACGCATTATTATTACTCGGTCGTCGTCTCATCTTCATCTTTTTGTTTCTTTTGTTGTTTGGTCTTTCTTTTGTTTTCAGTAAATAAATCAGCGTTGCCCAAGTAACTTTTTTCACACACACACAGAAGACAAAAAAAAAAGAGGAAGAGGATATAGAGGAAAGGATCCCTGAGCAGGATCTCCCGGGGACTTTGACTTTATCTCGGCGTTTCCGTTGTTTGTGTCGCCTCTTCTCGCATTGATTGGTTAATTATAACGAGCTTAGCCAACAGGCAGAGCTACAGTTAAAGCTAAGACACTGGGAATATTTAAAGAATTAAAAGATAATCATATGGATATTTTAGTTGGAAACAAAATATTTATTATATTAATATCAAGGGTTCTGCAAAAAACTTAGGGAGTTTTAAAAAACTTAAAAGTGGTGTCGAAAAGTATGCTATTAAATTTTTGAGTTACCAATCTTGGACACCATTTTGAGGGTTTTAAATACGCCCTTTTTTTTTTTTTTTTTTCTGCCCACAAGTCATGTAAGCGAGCAAAAAAACAATGCCAGCTGTGTCTCTCTCTCTCTGTGTGTGTGTGTGTCTTTCTGTATTTATTTAACGTTATTTTCTGTTGTCAAATAAAATACAATGAAAGCTAATTCAATGCGTCACTTCACTTCTCTTATCCTCGTCGAGGAAATTATCCCTAACAACCAAGAACAACACAAAGGCATCCATCCATCCATACTCCCCCCCCTGACACCCGCGTTGACCTCAAAGCACAGCACAAAATGTATTACAAATTCAATTATCAAATATGTTTTAGGCGTTTTTGGCTTCCAGTTACAAGGCAGGAGCAGCAGCAGCAGCAGCATCCCAGTATCAGTAAAAACAACACAAAAAGAAATAAACCAAATACTTTTCAGTTGGGGGATATGTGTATGGTTCGTTTTGCTGAGCTAAGCGAATTTTACCCGAGGCGGAAACATTCGGAAATGGCAGGAACACATTTTTTTTTGTTTTGGAAAACATTACAAAATTACATCCGAAGGGAAATTTTTAAATCTCTTGTTCTTGTTTATATTTGCCTTGTTGCTTTATTTTTATTTTACAAATTAAGTATAAAAGGTTAATGGTTTTATAGTATTCTTTGGCATTATATTAATATTTATATATATTTTTTTATATTAATATTTATATTTTTTTATTATATTAATATTTATATATTTTTTTTATTAAATTAATATTTATATTTTTTTTATTATATTAATATTAATATTTTATTTATTATATTTATATTTATATATTGTTTTTGTTATATTAATATTTATATTTTTTTTGTTATATTAATATTTATATTTTTTTTATATTATTATTTATATTTTTTTTTATATTATTATTTTTTATTATATTAATATTTATATTTTTATAATATCATCTTTTTAATTATTATTATTATTATTTTTTGTATTGAAAGCTTTTTTTTTTTTTTTTTTATTTATTAGAGAGAGTTTGTAACAAATACGTTTTTTTTTATTCGATTAATAATTTTCTTATAAACTCAAAATGCAAGCGGCATTCCTTTTTTGTAAATTCCAAATCAAAACTCCATATTAGCACACACATAAATCGAATTTACAGCTTGATTGCAATTTAAAAATCGTCGGGGAAAAAATTTGAAAATGCAATGAACATTAATGTTGTCGCTGCAAAGAATAAAAAATGTCTGCTTAAGCATTCAGCCATCTCCCTCGGCTTTATTCAATACTATTACAGCTCAGTGGATGCAATCAGCTTTGAATTTCCCTCCTCTCGGGCTCGTTTCACTTACCATGAGAATTTTTCATGTCACCCAGAATTTTCCCCCCACCCTCCAGACAGAGTTTTCCATGCCTCGGTTATTCCTTTTTTCTTTTTTCATTTTTTTTTTTTTCTGGCAGAGGATAAGCGACATTGAATGGGTCACACGAGTTGGCTGGCGATATTTCAATCTCATAATGCCAACATCGCTGGCAAATGATAATGACTTTGCGGGGTTGTCTCGGGGAAAAAGGAATGATAGCTGGGAAAACTTTCCCTTTTTCCATTTCCTCCTTTCCTTTTTTTTTCTGTATTTTTTCGGCTTATGCAAATCAAAGTGTTGTGCAATTTTAATGAGCTGGCAGGCTTCCTCCTCTTCCACAAAAATGAGAGAAAAAAAACTGCAAATGACGCAGGGAAAAGTTTCCTTTACACACACACACACACACACGCATATACGCCCACACTCACACGCATGCAAATGAGCGCCTTAGAATATGCAACGAAATTATTGACTAAAAAAAGAAAAGCCAAGAAGAAAATCTCAACGATTGGCTTTGCTGCCAGGAAAAAAGTATATATATATGACACACAAAAAAGGGAAACAAGACACAGGGCTATAGTATGAGGCTATATTAAATAAAGACTTAAAAATACCCTCTTAAAAAAATGTAATAAAAAGATGCAAAATTAAAAACATTCTACATAAATAATCGTAAATAAAATCTACAAAAGATGCAATAAAAAATTCTTTAAAAAATCATAAAATAATTCAATTAATTTATATATACCCTCTATACACCCAGTATTCCTCATAGATCTATTTATAGAGGTTTATCGAAAGGAAAACAAACCCGAAACAATGAAATGACGGTGAAAGAAGGGGGAAAAACTTGAGCAGGGAAAATTTTTGATGGCAAATCGAAGACGCAGGCTTCCCTTCCTTCAAAATGTCTTCCTTCATTTTACTTTTTGGCTATAAAGTGGGCGTGGCAAGTTTAAGTGTGCGTGTGTGTGTTGGAGAGTGTATGTGTGAGTGTGTAAGGATGCCAGGCCAGCGATTTGCATATAAATGATTACGGAAATAAAAAAGGAAGTTGAAAATAGACAGAACTTCTTGTGGCAAGAGGGTGTAGAGAGAGGGGTGTTAAAAATGGGTGGAAGAAAAGTTAAACACTAAGGAAAAATATATAATATTATTTTGACGAATTAAAATCTTAAATAAAATAATAATTATTAAAAAAAATAGTAGTTTTTTTTTCTAATCTAAATGAATTAGAGATTTTTAACTGTATTTTTTTTTTTGTTATAAAAAGTAT